TGAATATGCATTGCAGGTCTTATTTATAAAAGCAAATATAAAGAAGAGTTGAACTGGCTGCCTGCAAATTTCAACCTTGTAGGGCTGATTAGAAATCAGTGAAAACTTGCGAGTGGTTTCTGTAGGTCATACCACTGTGTTTTCATGGAGAGGTTCCTTGTAAGCTATTCTATTGTCTGCTGTATAATGTTCCTGTTTAAAGTAAGCACACTAAAGAACCTGCCACAGGAATGTTTATCATGCTTTGATTCTGTGCAGGATCTTTTAACTATTTCACACAGGCATACCTTTTTTGTTACAAATAGCAGACAGTTAATGGGAATATCTTATTTCTATGGATTCCTCTAATAAAAAACAATCACTTGTGACTCATATATCATCACTGGGTATTGTTGATGAACTAAATGATCCTCTGCATTCTTATATCTTAACCTCCCTGGCGGTATTCCCGAGTCTGGCTCGGGGTTAATTTTCTGTACCATAAGCGGTAAACCCGAGCCACACTCGGGAATACAGAGTCGTGCCTTTTACCTTGTCTGCGATCCCCGCTGTGTCCTCCAGCCGATGTCGGCATCCGTCTAAAAAAAAAAAGACGAAAAACAGAGCAAAAAAGGAAAGAAAAAAAAAATCATACCGCCAGGGAGGTTAAGGTGGCCATACACCTTACAACCATTGTACAACTTTTTTTTGTCCTGACATCGCACCCTTGTTCAAATTTTGTTCCATCATGCACAGACCAATGTAGTTCACAATTGTTTATCAGCACCACTAACTGGCCGATTTACATCAATCGAACGACCACATTTTCGTTTGAGCATGGGCAGTTTTCATCTTGAGATTTTTGTTGTACAAAAACGCCACTAATCCGTAAATTTTTGTCCAACTAGATGAACATTTTCTAGCCTGCTTGAAAGATGAAAATCTGCCAGTTGTACAGTAATTGCGGATGTGCACTCCCGATCAACTGGCAGATTTTCGGACGAAAACACGATTGCGGGCTAAAATCAGCAGAAATTGTAAAGTGTATGGGCACCTTTACCCTAAGCTAACTCTAAATTGCCATACACCTGCCGATTATCCCGCGATCGTACGATAATCGGCAGGTGTATGGGCAGTGTACGACCGCTTCTACTGTAAGGTTGCACGACTTTCCTCTTCCAAGCACGCTGGAAAACCTACTGAAAATCGTATGATTTTCGGCGGGTTGGTGGCGTGCTCGGAAGACGAATGCCGCACGGGCCGGTGTGCGCAAGCACACACTGCCTGCTCAGCTCTGCAATCATCAGAAGCCCGCCCCTCAAGATGGGCAGATCGTACGAAATTTTAATCATTTTACAACCATCGCACAACGAAAGTCGTGCGATGGTTGTAAGGTGTATGCCTAAGCTTTAATGCTACTTTCTGGAATCTCATTCCTAGTGCTACATTAACTAAAATGTAACACCTGGGCCACTATTGGGTGGGCATAGCTAGGGTCCAGAGATCCTCATGTATGAATCCTCAAAAGATATAAGGAAGTGGTGGAATTCAGCAAGCTAGAAGCTAGCCAGTTTTAAAGTAAACCTGTGTCCTGACTATACACATTAAATTATTTATATATTCCAAACAAGCTGCAAAATAACCATGCACCGATTCAGTTTTTTTTGGTATTGAGTACTTGGCTCCATGCTGTTTGGCCGGCTCAATGCTGATTGGCCGGGAAGCCAGGTCCATGCTTTTTTGCTGGCTCAATGCTGATTGGCTGGGAAGTCGGCTCCATGTTCCCTCGCGGTACTGCTGGTCAGAGGAAATCTCCCTCTGACCAGAAATTCCGGTATAGGGGGTAGGTATCAGAGCGAGTACTCGTCCAAATATTCGGTATCGGCCGTGATACAGATACTATTATCGGTATCGGTGCATCCCTAACTCAAACACTAACTTACCTCTGTAGCTGTAGGCATTGTGGTAAAATTAAACTTTAATTAAACCGATTCAGTTTTTTTTGGTATTGAGTACTTGGCTCCATGCTGATTGGCCGGCTCAATGCTGATTGGCCAGGAAGCCATGTCCATGCTTTTTTGCCGGCTCAATGCTGATTGGCTGGGAAGTCGGCTCCATGTTCCCTCGCGGTACTGCTGGTCAGAGGAAATCTCCCTCTGACCGGAAATTCCGGTATAGGGGGTAAGTATCAGAGCGAGTACTCGCCCAAATACTCGGTATCGGCCTGTCAGAAATGACCTTAAATCCCATTTCACAGCCTCTGTTGTGATATTTCAGGATAAATTACTTTACAGTACATGCAACTACAGAGGTAACTGAAGAGACAGCTAAGTTGAACCCTCATTTTTGATTACTGTTATGCAGTCAGGCTGCATATACAGTAATAAATATGGAGCTCTTTTATTTTATTATTATTTTCTTTTTTAGGGATGCACCCATATATCGACCGGTGAAACATATCAGACGAAAATTGCACTTTTGGCAAAATGCAGAAAGGGTAATTTTCTGGCCACTATAGTGGTGCATCCATTCTTTCTCTCCTCCCCGCTGCATGCTGCTCTGTGTCCCAGCGGGGAGGAGAGAAACTGTTACAGGCAACTGAGCGCTGTGGGAGGAGAGCGCTGTGAGCGGCCAACGTCTCTTCTCCAAGCACCACTCAGCCTCCTGTCACAGATCACGAGAGCGGTGTGGGCGGAGACAGCCAGCGATGTCACCGCAGGCTGAGCTCCGCTTGCTCAGCCTCCTGTGACAGCTGTCGGGAAGAAAAGAAGTACAAACACTCAGTGATCAGTGATCCCTGAGTGTTTGTAAATAATTGAGGACATAGTATGTTTACTATATCCTCAATTATGAATGAATGGGAAGTGATCTACACCACCTCCTGTTCATTCATGATTGTGGTTATAGTAAACATACTCTGCCCTCAATCTCTTTTTCTATTTTAAAAGGGAAATATCAGGGGTCTAGGCCCCCAATATTTACAAGAAGTCCCTAGAAGTAAAGAGAAAATGAAAATATTTAATAAAAATAAATAAATACAATTAAAATATTAAAAAGTTTATAAAAAATAAATAAAAATAAAATATTTGAAAAAGTGAAAATAACAAAAATAAATTTTTGGGTTGCGCCTGACTTTTTTTTCATTTCGGTTTTGAAATTTTCATTTCAGTGCACCTCTTTTTTTAATTTAACTGCTAAATGCAATGCTGTGAGTGGTTAGAATATCCCCAAAGGTCTGATCCCCCCCCCTCCCCCCAACACTGCTCTAATTATTAACAGCGCTAAACCTCCCTGAGCAGCTTTGTTGAATGGAGCAGTGTTCCAAGGGGATGTTTAAGGGAGGATTTCCGTCCTTGAAGAGAGATTTCCCCTCGTTTCTTATTAAAGTTTTGGATGGATGTGTGTTAATTACTCCTGACCTCTGCACTGTGTGTTACGTACTATTGACCTCTGAACTCTGCTTTACCTTCTACTGACACTTGCACTCTGCGTTACTTGCTACGGACCTCTGTACTCTACATTGCATACAACTGACCCCTGCACTCTGAAATACTACTGGCTACTGAACTCTGCATTACTCACTACTAATCCCTGCATTCTGTGTTGCTTGTGTTACTGAACTCTGTATTAGTTACTACTAAGCTCTGCTTTGATTGCTACTAACCATTGCACTCTAAGTTACTTTTTGTTAAAAAAAAGCACGCTGCTTTTTTGGTAATCTTTGGCCTTTTCCATGTTGTTCACCTCTCTAGAGTTGCTTCCCCTGCAATACTACAAAAGACATCACTGATAATGCACACACTATCTGTAGCTGTATGTGTTTTGTGTAATGTGTTTCTGATATAGTGTTCCTTTCTTAGACATACTACAACTAAAGAGAGCAGGAACAGAGAAATCTGGAAAGAATGCCCTGCTTGCATTTGTCTGCTGATGAGGTAAAACGTTCAGTCTAATAATACTTTTTTAAAAGCATTCAGTATTCAGTAACAGAGCAAAATAACTATTAGGACCTGTGTCAATGGGCTTTTGTATGCTTTAAGCGGGGTTTGCATTCCCATTCAAGTCTATAATAATGCAAAACCCGTGTGAATGAGGTAGGAAGAAGGTCAAATGATCCTGTCAATTAATTCTTAAACTGATGTCTAACTGATTCCATCGCCAAAACCCCATTGACACAGGACCTTATAGTTATTAGTTTGTCTCTTATCATATTTTTATTGTTTGTTCCTTAAAGGAACATTCAGTTTTGAAGAGAAGGTAGAAGAGGGGGTAGAACCTCTGTGAGGTATTGATTGCCCAAATTGGGGAGATTTTCCCTTATTTCCTGTGAGGTCACTGAGACAAAAAATAAGGAGAAACCTCTCCGATTGGGGAACAGATAGCATTGAAAGCCTGTTTTTATGTAATGGGGAGGGGTTACATTTTCTGTGATATTTTGATTGCTGTCTGTGTCCCTGTTTGGGAGATCTGTGCTGCTTTGTACTGTTCCTAGTACTAGCACTCCAGTGAATGTAGTAAATCCTCTACTCACATATAACTTCTCATTGTTGCTCAGCATCATTATGTTTGCTTTCATTGGAGACATTTCCCATCACCTCCCATTCCTCTCACTCTTGTCATGAGGACAGGAAATGAAAGGCGATTTCTCCTGTGGGGCACAGGCAGCAAAAAAAAGCCTAAAAAATGTAAAAACACATACAAGCTTTCTGATCTCATGTTCCTGTATCTTTTTATACCATTTACATACCTGTAATATTCATCCCTTGATACATGTATACTCTGCACCATAGCTTTACACCTTAAGCTCAGAATATAGAGTGTAACTGAAATAACACACCTCTGAGTAATTATGTTACATAGTTACATAGTATTTGAGGTTGAATAAAGACATATGTCCATCAAGTCCAACCCATTGTGTGTGTTAACAATCCTTTTTAGAATGGGAATACACCGTTGCATTATGCTGCCCATAATGATGACTTAGAAGACGTACTCAAACTGCTGCAGGATGGACATGACATTCTTTGCCGAAATGCGGTAAGCATGTGTTTTTGGAATTGGAAGTTCAAGGTGACAGACAAGAAAAAAACACATAAAACTGCATGTTGTATGATGTTAGGACCCAGCGTGAATAAGGTCCAGGAGAGCAGTATTTTCAGTATAAAAGCTGAGGATTAACCCAATTCAAAATAATACATAGAGCATATTATGCCTTCAATATTCGATACAAAAATTCTCCCCCGGACTGGCTGACGGCCTGCCCCAAATGCCAAGCCCCATCACCGGATTTAGACCACCTAATTTGGCTATGTCCCCTTATTCAATCTTTTTGGACAGGGGTGCTCCAGTATATTACCTCTATATCTGGTACCCACAGACAAATATGCCCGATATTCTGCCTATTTCATACGGCTACCACGGCAGGCATAGCTGTCCCTCGTGAACCATCTAGATGGGAACACTTATGTTTACTGGCGGCAAAGAAGGCGACACTAACTAACTGGCTGCTCCCAAGCCCCCCCACAATAAAAGTAGTAAAAGACCTCCTACACAAACTGATGTCCCTTGACCTGCTAGATGCGCAGATAAACCAACCCCTCACTGCAAACTTCTTTGCCACCTGGTCCACATTCCTAGTGACTGAGCTTCATACAAACCGACTGAAGGAAATTATGACGACATTTCAACTCACTAAGTGGTATCTCACCTCAAAACTCGATGGATCACTTGGTGCACTAGATGTCCTGTAGGCTGCCAATACTTGATGCCTCCAGACTGACCCCTTTATGTCCAATACTACATAGCAAGGCTGATGGCACTGCTTGTGTCCATATCTATGTTTCTTAGGTACTAAAATGTAATATTGATATTTTTATATGTCTACATTATGCTCCAATTTAGACCCTATTTCTTTTCAAGTGTACCCCTACCCCCCCGGGCTGTAAGGCTTGATTGTGATTTAACACAAACATTAAGATTGATTGTTCATATTCATCTATGTTAGTCAACGCTCAGTTATGGCGATGTTTCGTTTCTTATTATGCGTTCTGTATGTATGCAGAAGTTTTTTTTCTGTTTTTTTTCCAATAAAAATTACATGCTAAAAAAAAAAAAACTGAGGATTAATCTGCTTATATTTTGCCTTCCCTGATTCCTTCTTCCCCTCCTCATCAACATGCTAATTATTTTTCTAAACAAAACCTTTTTGTTTCCAATATATACCTTATAATGACGGAGTGATGTCATAACTGGGTCTCTGTACTTCTCCATGCTGTGCAGGCAGATCATGGCTGGTGGCAGGGGCTGAGAGTTTTCTGTATATAGTAGGGATGTCCTGATACCGATACAAGTATCGTGGCCGATACCGGGCATTTTCACTTGTACTTGTACTCGTGAAAATGCCCTGATTCTTAAGGCCGATACCGACCCTTTAAATTTTTAAACCACAGCGGCTGCCTGAGTTCCCTTGCTTGTGGGAACCTCAGATAGCCTGCTGGGGACCAGGCAGTAGCTGTCCTTGGCAGTGCCTGTCTGGTTCTATATCTCCTCCTTCCCAACACAGGCACCGCCATAAACAGCCCCACACCACACAGTATAGCCCCGTAGCCTGCACCTGCCAGTTCAACTCACTATTTCAGGCTGGTGTACTATCACTTCTCCCACAGACACCTGCCCGCTCAGCATAGCCACTTCCCTCAGAGCCCTGGAGAGATCCACATGCCACCCAGGGTGGCATGTGGAGATCTGTATATAGCTCTGTATATAGCTCTGTAGAGCTGTAGAGATCTGTATATAGCTCTGGTGACATGTTGTGTATTCAGCTTTGGTGCCATGTTGTGTTTTCAGCTTTGGTGAAATGTTGTGTATTCACAGCGTTGGTGACATCCCAGATAGCAAGCAATTGAGTTGCAAGTTTGAAAATGACTTGCTATACTATTGCTAGACTTGCCAAGCTTCACAATTTTGCTGCACAATTACAGCAAGTCTGCATTGCAAGTCTTCAGATCAATGTGCTTTGCAAAAGTGCTGTACACTTGCAGAGCTCTTGCTAACACCTGCAGGACTCTTGCTGTAGACTTGCCAAGCAAATTTGCTACAAATTCAAAAAGTGTCAACTAGAACTTGTGCTGCAAGTGTTCTGCAAGTCTACAACTTGCCAGGAATGTGTGCAGCAAGTTAACAAGAATTACAATTTCACCCTGCCACAAGTTTGTGGCAAGTTATCCTTGCTATCTGGGATGTTGTGTATTCAGCTTTGGTGACATGTTGTGTATTCAGCTTTGGTGACATGTTGTGTATTCAGCTCTATTGAGATCTGTACGCAGCCCTGGTGAGAAACTGCCTTAAAAGCATTAGCCTGTATTGTTTTAGAAAAAATATCACATGTCCCTTTAAGAAAAAGTATCAGTAAGTGGTACCGGCAAGTAATTGTAGGGACAGTACTTGTGCTTGTACTTGGTCTTGAAAAAGTGGTATCAGGACATCCCTAGTATATAGGCTGCTGAAAATATTACTGAACCCAACCTCATTACTCTTCCCAAGAGCCCTCAGCCCATCAGAGGAGTTATGAAAATATTAAAATGCCTTAATGGGTAGATGGAATTTGAAGTAGTGGTTTTTCCAAGGCATTGCTTTTCTATGTTTCAAAAGTCAAACTTGACTTTCATTGAACAAATCTAAGTCTCTTCAGTTCAGGTACATACAGGTGAAACTCGAATAATTAGAATATCGTGCAAAGTTCATTTATTTCACTAATGCAACTTAAAAGGTGAAACTAATATATGAGATAGACTCATTACATGCAAAGCAAGATAATTCAACCCCAAGAACCCCAAATCCACAACCTCAAAAAAGTAGATTATTACATGCAATCAATAAAACAAGGATTGTACATAGAACAATATCGGACCTCTGAAAAGTACAAGCATGCATGTGTACTCAGTACTTGGTTTGGGCCCCTTTTGCAGAACTTACTGCAATTACTTTTGCACGATATTCTGATTATTCGAGTTTCACCTGTATACTTGTTCCTGTTCTGTGGTTGCTGGCAAAAGTACTAAAGTCACTTCCTCTTTCCAGAGTGCTAAGTAAGAAGATTTGTTCGTGATAATCACATGAGCCGCTAGAATGTGGTAATAAGAGACAATCCACTGAATTAAGCAGTCAGACATTATTGGGGGGTTTTCACTACAGACCGTAATGCTTTAAGCAAAAAAGTATTTTTTTTTTTGCTGATTTTTTTGGCATGCAGCACTTTAACTCAAGAGTTAAATCTTAAAAATGCATTCAAGTACCTTAAAGGAGAACTATGGGGTTAGGGCTTTTCCCCATAGTTCTCCAATGGGGTAACGGGAGGACACAAACTAGTGTTCTCCCGTTACCTAAAGCTCAGTATACCGCGAGCTGCAGCTCGCGGTATACTGAGACGCCGCAGCTGAAACGGATCCCGACAATTATGTCTGGTTCCGCCCAGCTGCGTGACTAACAGCTGGCTCTGCCTATCTAGAGGCAGAGCCAGCTGTACCCTCCCCCGTCCATTCCGCCAGTCAGCGCTGGAGGATCGGACAGGGGAGGGGAGAATCCGGTCACTCCCCTGTCACGGCTCTCTGCATGTTCGCTGTGTTCGCTCACTTCCCGATCTAGTGAGCCGACCTGTGACAGTTTCATTGTTACAAGTCGGCTCAGATTATGAGGCTAAGTGAAAAGCACTACCTCATAATTCTCCTTTAACAACAAAAATGTATCTTATTTGTGTGTCACTCAGCTGTAGAAATACTGAATTAAGAAAGCTAGTTGGATGACCAGCGAAACGTCTTCAAGAAAAATACAGCAAGTCCAGTTGCCTTGACTTATTTTCTACAGATATTCCATGACCTAGAGTCCTAGATGAATAAGAACCTTCACAGACATATTTGTTTAATGTGGCTCCTCACCATTCATTATTGTGGTATATAAATATGTGTGATATTGTATTCTATACAGAGCGGGTTAACGCCTTTGCATTTTGCGGCTTTTGGAGGAAACCTGAAAGTACTTAAACAACTTCTTTCGATGACCCCTGGTGCAATAAATGACCAAAGTATTAAGGTATAACTGGCAATGATACAACTCAAATTAAAGTAGGCCTGTTTTGGACATTTATTTGAATAAATTTTGTTTTACTGACTTCTATTTTTACCACTATGTAATTTAGTGTATTAATACTGTATCATATCTATTCTGAATAAAGAAATGTATGATGAGTTACTAATTAGTATGTCCAAAAATGTCTCGATTACTAAAGCGCATAATGCCTTACGGAAAATTAACTTGAGCTCCAGGAGGATATTAATATTATTATTATACAGGATTTATATAGAGCCAACAGTTTGCGCAGCGCTTTGCAACATATGGGAAGACATTACAATCACAATACAATTCAAGACAAGATGGTAAGGAGGGCTCTGCCCAAGAGGGCTTACAATCTAAAAGGGAGGGGGTCAGTGATACAAGAGGAGGTAGAGGATATAGAAAACAATGCAAGAAACCATTAACATATTCATTATAAATTGTACCAATTAAAAACTATTACATATATTTTAAATGCAACTACCGTATTTTTCGCTCCATAAGACGCACTTTTTTCCCCCCAAAAGGAGGGGGAAAAAGTGCCTGCGTCTTATGGAGCGAATCCTGACACCCGAGACATGCAGTTTCGGGCGCCGGGCATGTAGTAGGAGCCACTGCTCGTTTAATACGAGTGATCTAACGAGATCACTTGTATTAAAGCCGAGCAGCGGCGGCGGCGATCGAGTTCAGCAGCAGGAGCCACTGCTCGTTTAATACGAGTGATCTAATGAGATCACTCGTATTAAAACCGAGCAGCGGCGACGATCGAGATAACCATAGAGCAGACGAAGAATAGACGTTCTTCGCCTCCTCTGTGTCATCACTGAGACCGTGGCGCTGTAATCACAGCGCCACCTGTCTCAGCGGTCACTAACTGCAGCTTCTGTCACAGCTTCTGTCATAGAAGCTGTCACAGAAGCTACAGTCTCGAGTGCTCCATAAGGCGCGCCAGTATTGACTTGGTATTTTCATCTCTCAATCCTCTGTACAGTGGCAGCACTAGGGGCTAGTCAAATGTGAGTCACAGGCTGTGGGCAAACAGGGGCCACGGAGAAAATGGCCCTGATCTGGCAGGGCTGTCTGAATATCAGGACTGGCTGAACAAATTATTTTAGTAGCAATAACAGCTCTGTTATATGAAATTTGCAGTCTGCAGACCAAGTACAGGGCTGTCCCTTCTTTTCTCTACGTCATTGGCTCATGTGAGCAGAAAATAAGAGAACTGAACAAATGTGAATTATTATTTTTGTTCCCATAAAGTGAAGATGTGTGTTTAAAGCAGAAGAAAAATAACATGCGGGAAAATTGCTGACATGTAGGTATTTTATAGTAGAAGAGATGTGTAAGTCTCTTCTTCCAAAATTCTCCTACCTCTATGTCAGCAATGTTTCTTTTTTCTGTGCACTGAGCCACACATGCGCAGATCAGTGCAAAGCCTTTGCATGCCGAGATGAAGTAACTCTCATGCTAGCCGGCACACTGTCATGCCAACCGGCCAATCAAGAGGTCACAGATGCTGAACCCAGAAGAAGTCTGGTGAGTTGAGTGATCAGCAGTTTGTGATTGCTCAGCTCTAGATTAATAGAACCTGTGTGTGACATCTCTAAGTATCACACAACAGCTCTACCTATTGGGAACAGTACATTTTACTCTCCCCATACTTCTCCATTAAGTTACTCATACACCTTCCTGCAAAAGTAGCCATCTTAGTAAAAACACATTGGTGGTGTTTTATGGACATTCCATGAAGTGTCAACATTGTGAATATTCAGTTTCTAAGTCCTTTACATACAGACACCTCTGCTGACATCACCTCCCAATTTTCTGGGGTGAAAGACCTTTCACACCGCATGCTGCCAAAAAGAGTGGTCATATACATGAGGATCCTGGAACCCAGGCCTCTCTTTATGCAAATCGTGTCCAGCGCCTGTGCTGGAAAAACATGTGGTGACACTCGCCTGTCCCAGGTGGTTCAGACCGATTAGGCAGCATTCAGATATCTGTGGGCAACACCAGACACCCCCGGCTAACATTTTGGGGAAAACCACAATTCTTTCAATGGGAACACTTGGTGACCTCCAGCATATTTATTGAGCCACTGGAAAGCAGACAAGCCTGAGGATGATGGGAGTATATCTCTATGTCAGACTGCACTCTGGTATCTATGCCCACCCATTCTCATCTAATAGTTTTCAAGGTGGACAGCAACAACATTTGCACAGGGACTGTTTTGAAGCAATGTACAACCCTTGAACGACTGAATCTTTCATACTGGTTACTTCACATCTGAGCCTGGAAAGCAGACAAGCCTTAGGGTGATTGGAGTATATCTCTATGTCAGAATGCACTTTGGTATCTATGGCCATCCATTCTCAGCTAATAGATTTCAAGGTGGACTGCAACAACATTTGCACAGGGACTGTATTGAATCAATGTGCAGCCCTTGAACAACTGCATCTTCCATACTGGTTACTTCAGATCTGAGCCAGGGGTGTCTAAAAATGCAATTACATATAGAATGGTATTAGCCTACCCTTTATATATCAGTGAATTAAATATTAGACTTGCTTGTTTCCTGTTAGAAAAATAACCCATAATTGGTGTTGTATTAGTAACTGTTTTTAAAGTTTTTAAAATCTTTAATCCTGCATTTATGATTGACTTATTTGTCATAAATCCCCTTCACTTCTCTAAAAGCTTTGTGTGCTTTTGCAGTTGTTTGCTATCATTCATTTTTTTCAAGTTATAACCGTGTTACCCTTTCTCTTCATTTATTATTTTTCTTTTTTCTTTGCTGCCATTTTTGTATTTTGTTGCAGACAACAATCTCTCAGATGTTTCTCTGTTTCAGGGCTCATCCCTCCTTCATGAAGCCATTCTAGGTGAAAGCTTAGAAGTTGTCAATTTCCTTCTAGCTAATGGAGCTGACACAAACCTGCAGGATAAGGTGTGTGAGTGTGCAAGACCAACAGTTTCTTTTAACAATGTAAAGCTAAGGCATTTTAAACCATAATAGTGTAGCAAGAAAAATACTGGCTGCGCTTTCTTATAAATAGTCCTCACTGCGGCTCCTTTGCTCTCGACAAAAATTCAAAATAAAATAATGTATAAATGTGTACTGTGGAGGAGATGGATATCCTGCTTCTTTCTGGAGTATGAAAGGCTACTACTTAAAAGGGAATTATGGCCAAATCTTTTTTTTATTATAGTCCTTTTTTAGGATCAAAAGAGTACATTTACTAATATACTCCTGTGACCCAAAGTCAGCATCTAGTGGGCTACTGCCTGCTCTTTGTTGACAGCACAAAGCCGCGCTGCAGGTGGAAAAGATCCCTACAATATTGTCGGGATCCACCCTGCTGCCTGATTGAGCTGTGCCCACCCTCTCTACTGTCTGTCCCTCCAATAAGCGCTGGAGGACCAGAGAGAGAGGGGAAATCCCTGCAGGGAGCGGTGACTACAGGGAGAAGACCATGAGCCGAGCAGTCAGTGTTTTGTGATTGCTCAGTTCACGAGCTTTAGAGCTGACGTGTGACACCTTTTTTTCGACATTTGTACACGATTTTGTGTGTTTTCAAGCTTGAGTGTTTTTGTTTTAGCCAGTGTAAAGCTAGTTACTAGGAGATGGTTGTTTGAACTGAAATTGCGCATTTATAGTTTTTTCTCATACGTGAATATTGAAGTCTATTGGGGCCAAAAAAAGTGAGATTATGTACCAAGCAGCTCCTTTACTTTTTCTGAGCATTGAGTATGCACATGGCTCAGATGTGAACAGGCACAAGAGAGTGACATAGAAATCTGAGTATCAAACTTTGAAGTGCTTCAGGATGGGCATACATAAGGCAGCGCTCACTATATGAAAGGGATTTATTCAAGTAAGCTTTGATTGCATTATCAAGAACAATTCTAGTATGTATGCCTATTACAGTGCTGAGGTTATAACAGGATAGCATATGCTGTGACTTTAAAACTTCTTTAAGTAAAATCATGTGTATATGATGTTGGTTTTCTAGTGCGGCAATACTCCTTTACATTTGGCTGCATTCTTGAAAAGTGCTGGTTATTCCGCTAACATCTGCCAGGCTTTACTGAAGAAAGGAGCAAATCCTACAATACAAAATTGGGTAAGAATCCGTGCTGTAGTAAATGAAGACCGTATCCACTATTTTTAATATAAATAATATTTTATCTATTTGATTTTATATAATATAATTATGTAAGCCTTTAATAATATAACTTATCACACGAAGCTTCAATTTGTGCTCTCATTTATGTCTCATATAAGGTTTACCATGGTAATGTCATTTACAAGTAATTTTTAATCTTTTGAAGTGAAAAGCTTTCAATGTAAAATAATACCAGGTAAGGCTGCCAGAAGATCTTGGTTCAGACACTTACTGTAAACACTCTGTCCCTGTCCCCAAGTTGTGCTCCTGTGTTGCAACCTTGTCACACGAGCATCAGTGGTGACTGTATGTGGTCGTTTCAGCACACATTTTACAGGCATGTTTTTCCTGTTGCCACCATTTGGAAAACCACCCCAAGAAATTAAATGCAATAATTACAAGACTGGAGTACATGCATGGAGACAGGAAGTGGATACAGAGAGGACGCAGAAGATCGGCACCACTGAGATGTGAAATAGGATAAAAAAGTGAAAACAGTATTTAAGGATTATGTCTACTCTAAGCAGGGAAACATGCATATCCCAGCATTGTTATGTCTTGTCCTTGGAACTAGAAGGACTCTGAAGTAATTTGCTTGTGTGGAGTGACACTCATGCCCCCTTATTGACACTTCATAAGGGACAGTTAACCAGAGAATATTCAATATTTGAGATTATAAAACCTATCCCTTCCTCCCTAATCAATTTTAAATGATGTTGTGCCCCTAAATTCTAAGTAATAAGTGGGCCACATTGCCCTTCTTTTCTAATACTAATGAGTGTAGAACCTAAATACTGTATTTCTGTATTGATTGGACCTTTGATATTACTGCCTTAACACCCTATACTATATTATTGTTTTTTAATTAAAGTCCAAAAACAAACATTTTTGCACCAACGTAACCCAAAACAACATATTGCATCTGACTACAAACACATCCTCCTTTCCTCATCTCCATTACATAGAAATGGGGATTGTGTAGTGTAGAGAAGATAGTATGGTTGAGATACACTTTAAAGTAAATAAAATAATGATTTTGTTTTGTGCAATCTAAGGCGTTTTTGAGCAGTTGGAAAATTGCTTTTAAACACCCAACACAAGAATTACCATGATTTTCAATGGCCCCTGTTCACACCTGAACACCTTTATTTTGAAAATAGAAATGGCCAGCAAGTTTTATTTAAATAGGACTAGAAGTAACGGAGAGAGATAAATAAAATAGGAGCATGTGGTACTAGTTTACCAAACTATATATTATTGTATATAGCAAATGATAAAAGTATATTTACTGACATATATTTATAAGTGTCACTTTCATGTCTTGTTCTCGACAGAACAAAGAGAATTTTGTATTCACCCTTCTGAGAGGGGCAGCCAAAGAGAACTTAGAACTTCTGATCACACTTGCTCTGCAATACCAGACTGACCTTCTGAGTAGAAACTCGGTGAGTATTATCAAGTACAGTATAATATTGTGGAAGTAAATTGAACAGTGCAAACCTCTTGCCAAAGATTAATTATGAAAAGACCATGATGCAAAGCCTATAATAGACAAACAGGCTGCATGGAAAAGCCAAATTCCATAATTTCAGTCTGCCATAACTGTGAGTACAGGGGTTGTTTTTTCCATAGAGAGCTAGAACATGTTATGTGTCTTTCCTATCCATCACTATCCCCCAATCTGAACAGATATTTTGGGGGGAAAATGCAGTGGGCTACAGAAAGATGATAAAACATAAAGTCTTGGGCATTTACTGCTAATCTAAACCAGGAAATGGAAACAAATTTGCACTGTCCCCGGCCATAATGAAAAATGTATCTGCAGGAGTAGATCAAGATGGACGGCAGACCCAGGATATAAAGCAACCCCAATCCCATTTGCTTGTTTCCGTACAAGTCCAACAAATAAATACTGTTTCTGGATAAGAAGTAATCCTGAATCTACACATTGAGGCTATAGTCAAATCTGCTGTTTACCAAAAATGATCTGATAACACCAAATTGTGAGGCTCACACAGATTCTCAGTACCTCATATAACACCTACACCGTAGGCTTATTTATTTATTACAGGTATTTATATAACATTGTCAATTTATGCAGCACTTTACATATTATCCATTCACATCAGTCCTTGCTTTCAAGGAGCTTACAGTCTAAGGTCCCAATCTCATATGCATACGCACTAGGGCCAATTTAGACAGGAGTAATTTAACCTAACAGCAAGTCTTTGGAGTGCACGGAGTAAACTGGGATGCTTGGTGGAAACCCACACAAGCACAGTGAGTACCTGGATTCAAACCAGGGACCCAAGTGCTGCAAGGCCAAAGGCTTCTAAAAACATTGCCAGACAAATATTAAAGAACTGGGCATATTTATGGGAACTTTAGCTATTTTTAAGGCTTCCATGAACAATTAGTGTAATGGATTAAAATTACTACACTCAAGTCACTCCCTTACATGACTTTAATGTTTACATTTCGTTGGAAAAAGAGTAGTAGAGTTCTTAGAACCAATGAGAAGTGCTCAGATTTTCTATAATGAAGATAAATCTTCCCCAGGGGGAAAAAAAAGAACATCAGAGACTACAGTTAACATTGAACGTCTATAGTTTCTTGCGTTGCCTGATTTTTATAGCCCGCTGTCTGCATTTGTTGTCACGATGGAGATACAACTTGTACAGGTGTTGTTCTTGTTGCAGTAAGTCAATAATTTGTCTCTCAACTTATCTTTGGCTTTAATTTTTAGAGTGGGCTCACTGCTCTCGATGAAGCAATAAAAATAAAAGCTCCATCTGGGGTTATAAGGCTGATCCAGAACCAAACCCAGGTACGTGGCATATAATCAATCAAACAAGGTCAGCTCATTCTGGTAAAAAATTCCCCAGCATCTTCTCTGGGAGTGCACAATTTGTGTGCTTTTGAAGGGTCACAAATGGAAGATTCCTCTAAAGCGATCAGCACATCCAAAGTATGTTGAATACTTTCTTTTATTTGATCATGTTAAAGTGTATGTAAAGGATTCTCTTAGCTTTGGATAGAGTAGTGAAGAGTTTAAACCCCTGTTATGTTTTTTTCTGTCTGTGTCTCATTGGGGAGACCAAAAGTGAGTGGAATTTCCACCATAGACAGTAGTCTGCAGCACCTTTGTCTTTATTGGAAGATTTACCAATGATTTATGCTGTGACGACAACTCTTACATTTTTGGTTTCCCTTCACTTCCTGTCTCAGTGACAATAGTAACCAGGACGAATATAGTAGTGTGATTTATCCCAATAGGAACACATACAGTAATAGAGACATAGTAACATAGTAGGGGTCCATCCAGTTCAACCTACTGTATGTGTGTATGGGTGTGTGTGATTGTGTGTCTGTATTTATTTGACATTTTTAATTCCTCCTTATTCTTCAAAAATGAAAAAAATGGCTTTACATACTCTTTAAAACCATTGCCAAAGCCATAATTAAAATACATAGTAAGCATATATTTTGGGATCATGGGTTTTCGATCTTCTGGGTCTTTGTCAAAGTTAGTATTGGACAAATACTAACATTTTAGCCCAAGGTAAGGCTTGTTCTGTATTATTATTATTATTATGGTGATTATTTTAACTTGCTCGAAAAGCAAGCTTTAACCATACTTGAGATGCGCTGATCATTTCAGAGGACTCTTCAATGCGGCATATACAATTTTAGAGTATTGATCCTTCAAGAATTTTTCTGATATTTTTTGCTTTTTTATTTAGTCATGAAAGGTCAAGAGCTTTATTTGATCCAAAAAAATGGTGTATATGTTTATGCACATATGGACACTTACTGCAGAAGTGCCCCTGCACTGCTGGTTGATCAAACCCAAACGGTGGTCTCAACTTGTAACCAAATTTAAAGGTTATGCCATCCACCCTTGCCAAAATACCACAGTTCAAACTATACACCTCTCTTTGCTGTAGGTTATGCTGATGGACACAGGTGCACATGCTGTGAGTGGTGGGAAGCAGGGATATGTTATAGCACTTGATTTGTACTGCATGAGAGATTTTTCTATAGAACATGCCTAGGCGTAGTTTTAGGAGCCTCAGCTTCAGCCTGGAAATCACAGGGATATTTTGGACAAAAAGAAATAATGGTATGTGCAGGTACGCGGAGGTGCCCGCCATTAACACCATTTTTATACACCTTATTTATAGACAAGTTCAAATTTAATAGGACACATGTAAATGCAAGAAAACACTATAATCTGCATTTTGACAAAATTCAAGACTTAAGCTGCCAGTAGACATGAGATGACAGCTACCTGGCCAATTGTTTTTGTCTGGATTGGGTAAACCATCTTGTATCTATGGGTTGAGTTACATGCCTGATGGCTGTCTGTACTAGAAAAGAACAAATAAGTGGCATCAGCAGTGTCTCCCGACATGTTTCTCCTATCCCACTCAATTTTAATGACTTGGCTGAGCATTCATGTTTGTGTGAGCGTTGGGCAACCAAAGTGCCAGGGGGTGGTCCCATTGTGCCTGCATGTCCTTTAACTCTTAAGCTTCTATGGTAATTTTAATTCTGTTTTTTATGAGCAGCAGATGGTTTTCTTGAAGGAACGTTCTTTGCCTTGTCCTGTTGAGGAGGTTGCTAATCAGAGCGGGAGACCTAGGAAGAAGGTGAAGCTCTTTATCTGTGGGCATAGCGGAGTTGGAAAAACCACATTTGTCAACACAATAAAAGAGGTAACTGAAACCTATACAAACATCATTTCAATTCTAGATCTTAACATCTCATAGTTGTTGCAGAATGTTCCTACATTAGGACTGGGTTTTCTAGTTCCAGCTAAACTCTCAATTACCAAACTTCACACATATATATGAAATGTGACTATGCTTATTCTCATTTTCATTTAACAGATGGGGCTACTTTCAGTGTTGCAGTATTATTTTAATGGACCTGAAACTCCTCCCTCTACCCAAGGGGTGTCCTGTTCACAGGCTGATCTAAAGGGTGAGTGGTTATGCATTTTTTACTTTTTTGGTAAGGTGGTAAAACAACAAAGGCAGTAACATTTTTGTGAGTTCAAAACATAGCACATGAGTTGTGTCTCTTACTGTTCTCTTCTTTCAGATGGTTCCTTGGTTATATGGGACTTTGCAGGACAAATGGAGTACTGTTTTACTCATTCTCTACTTCTAAACACTAGCGGACCCAACACTATCTATTGTTTGGTCTTCAGTCTAAAGGGAATTGAGAGTGACCTGCATGGAGCACAAAGACAAGCAATTGACCAGGTTTTTTATTATTATCTGTTTTTAATAAAGTGTTATTATCAGACAGTACTCATGTCTTCGATTAACCAAAATGTAGCAGTTTTACCTATGCTTAATAAATCCAAATTTGTATTCACAACTTAAAGGGAATCTCTCATGATAAAATAATAGAAGCTACCTTTTTTACCTCTTCTTTAGAATGCTAGTTCTGTGACTGTCATGCTTATGCTTTGACCTGGAACAAGTATAGAAATAATAAACTCTGACACTTTGGGGGTGATTTACTAACCTAAACACACACACACCAGGTGTGTGTGATTTTCACACAGCAAAACGTATTTATCAACCAAAAAGTCTCTAAAAGCATATTTCCACTAATGCCATATATGGAAAAATCATGCACATGATGCATATATAATGCTGCTTCACAGTTTAGACAAAAATGGTTAGCTCATGCATTTACATTCCTGCATTCATCAACGCAAGCAACATAACCTAGAGCTAATTTACACCACATTACCTTGCAATTCATTGCAGGGCTTTGCACAACACACCTGCTGGGTGTGTACACACTACAAAGGTGTTTCGATTCCTCCCATAGATCATGCTGGGAGGGAACACACTACAGAGGTGTATACACGTTCGTGGTGTGTTTAAAAGGTTAGTAAATCAACCCCTTTGTGACAATCATTTAAAGCATGCTTATTATGGGTACGTGACTCAAAAGTACCAAAGGCAGACACAGCCAGCCAAATTGCATTTTCATTCTTCTTACAGTAGTATATCAGTTACATAATAAAAGCTACTCAATGGCAATGTTTTACTTTTGAGAACAAACAAAATAGAGTGAGTGTATATAACCACCAGAGTTATTTTCAGCCTGTTCCACTGTCTTTTGTATGGAGGGGGGAGAATGCTATAAACCATGCACTTTCTCTAACATACTAAGCACATGGGAGTAAATTTTTACAACTCTGTAGAGTCAAATACCATCCTTGTAGATTTTTTAAAGACAATTGACAATGGTTTTGCAATGAGGGTTTAGAAAATAAAAAGAAATGGATTTCAATGCCATTGAAGACAGGAAAATGTAACTCTCCTCTCCATTTTATCTTTAGATTGGTTTTTGGAGATTGTTTTGGCCAAATAGATTATAAAACAAAGAGATTTCTTTAATGTTCTGGAATTGGCATTAGAGAAATCTAGAACTGATTAAAAAAATGGAGAAGTCTTTAAACTGTTAATGTGTTTAAGCTTGCAAGTATGAGTAGGAAAGCTAGAAATCCAGTTCTTAAATGGGTAAATGTCTGAATGTTACAATCTTCATAATAACCCAAATAGCAAGGATAACTTGCCACACACTTGTGGTAGGTTAAATTAGCACTTTTGCAAAGCACGTTGATCTGAAGACTTGCAATGCAGACTTGCTGTAATGGTGCAAAACAATTGTGAAGCTTGGCAAGTCTAGCAATAGTTTAGTAAGTCATTTTCAAACTTGCAACTCAATTGCTTGCTATCTAGGAAGTTTTAAGGTTTGATTAGGAACTTTACATTTGTAAGGATACATTTGGTGTGAAATCTATTCTTTTCAGACTTAGGCCCCTTTCACCCAGGTGCTGCTGGTTCCAATAAGCAGGAAATCCATGCATGTGAATGCGTTGGATATACTTGTTATATATGTATCTTTTTAAATATTGATTATGTTTCTTATATCTCTGTGCATAAGTTCTCTTTTAATATTGTCTTTTAGATGCTTTTCTGGCTGCGATTCCTGAGCTTAGCTCATAAACCTGGTTCCTTGCCACATGTTATCCTTATAGGAAGCCACTTAGATACTCTGCCTGAAGAAAATAATGTGCTGATAGGTAAGAAAAACTTAACTTGTGTAAATTCTGCAGCTCACCAAGTGCCCCTATGTTACAAAGTGTTTCTAACACTAGAGTACCCCCTTAACCCTTTGTTCCCTCTGTCCTTAACAGCTAATATAACCTTCAAATATTGCTTTAAATCTTAATCCCCTCCAGCAGTTAACCCTTGCTTTAACACCTAATCCCTAAAATGTAACCAGAACACTTAGCCCTTATCAGCCATATCTCATTGCAGCTCACTAGACATACAGTAAGTGCACTAAGGAGACTACTTGCCTGCTCTTATAACATTGCGTTAGTCAAGGGAGCAACACCAAAGGAGCAGGAGGGTGCTCTCTTTAGTAATCCTTTTGAAGGGAATCTAACCAAAAGGATATGTTGTTAGCAACATATCTCTCCAGTCTCCCCAGTGGGATATCTGGTCAGCACATAATTTATGCAAACAAATCTGACTTTATTTAATCAGATAAATGCATCACAGTTCAAAGTTTTGGAGCCATGCAGGAAAGCCTTGCTAAAGGACACCTGCACAGCTTTAAATATTGCACTGTTTTATAATTATCTGATGCTATCAAACTGAATGTTTTGCATGAATGATGATGTGTTAAAGATGCATTCTATAAATGTTATTAACAATACCAGAAGTTAATCATTACAACACCTGCATTAGGATGTGCTCAAGTATAGTGTGAGATGGCAATATTCTTTTCATTTCCCCAGGGGGGACACATATGTCAATAAAATCTTGACAGGGCTTCTATCCCTTCCCTACTCTGTACAAACCTAAAAAAACAGTTTTGGCTGAAGTTGTGCTTTAACTAAAAAACAAATCAATATTTATTATTATTATTTTTATCTTGAATGCTTTGCACGCCATGTTACAACACATCTACATGTCTTCAATGTCTTTTTTATACTTTTACTGAGCAACAGTGGCAATGTATTAATGTAATAAGTAACTATTTGAGTATTCATCAGATCAGATTAGCTGGGGAGAAATACAATAGGAAGACGTCTTGGTATTCACACTGTTATAAACAAGAAATTATTTTGCAAAAAGATTTCCTGTGGAAAACATTTTTAAAAATGTTTTAATTGAACTTGCTCCATATCATAACTCCCTCCTGAAGAGAGATTGGAATAATAAAGCAGAACTAAAGTATTTGTGCAAATACTCTGAGATTGCAAGTAAAACAATATGTATACATGCATTTTGCCATTCTGTTTCCTCTTGCACTGTCCATATTTCATATTATCCATATGCCATCTTGCCTAGTCTATTCAAAAGCATTAGTGGCTGATGATGTGCTTATGTGATGTAATAATTCAAACAAGGAAAGTTATCTATAGGAACTGCTTTATTTTTTTAAGCAGATTATTTTTTTAATGAAAGTGTTTTATATTTTTGCAATACACAAATAAACAAACGTACACCCCACTACCTTCACCCCTCCAGTTTCCCTTATTTATACAGCAACTGAAGCATACAACCATTAACAATCAAGATTCCACATGTTTATAATTACAGAGATAGTAACATTCTTGACATTCACTAATCGAAAACAGCAGTACTTACATAACAGTGAGATTATTATACTATAAACCTGGTGTCAACAGTGCAGGCACTAACGCTATATCCAAGACAATGTGTAACTATACTGTATGCACTGAGTGGCCGGATTATTATGACCACCCCATCAGTACTTCGTTGGGCCACGAGATGACTCCACGAGATGACTTCATTGGGCCGCCGCGTGACTCCACGAGATGTTGAAAGGTGATGTGAGGAATCTGACACTGCACTGTTGCTCTTCTGTTGTCTTGTACCAGTCTTGCCACTCTCCGTTCTGCCCTAACATTGACTAGTCGCTGACGGCCACAATTCGCACGTTCAGACCCAGATTTTCGGCTGACAGTCCAGTCTTCAAACCCTTTAACAACAGCTGCTCTTGAACATTTAACGAATTCTGCTGTTTTGCTGATACTCGCTCAATGGCTCCGAGCGCCAACAATCATCCCACGTTCAAAGGCTGTTAAATCGCGTTGTTTACCAATATCTTCAGAAGAAAATCACTTCTACTGTCGTGGGAAAACAACCTGCTTCCCTATTTATAATGGTCTGGAACTCTAGCAACTTCAGCGCGAAATTAGAGCTAATTATAGCTAATTTGCCTACAAACGTCAGGTGGTCATAATAATCTGGCCACTCAGTGTATGTCAATATAACTGTTGTTTCTCTGCTAGGAACCAGGTGTGTAATAGGGCAGTTCTATCCCCACCTATTTCTCCCTCTCCAGTGCTCTATCATCAGCCACTTGTTGTTTTAAAAAAACCTGTCATGAGAGGAGCCACGCTGTTTTGTGCAGTGATGATCTCTACCCCTTATGCAAATACTGTATAGGAACATGAAGACGTACAAAGAGGGTGGTGTTAAAAACCTATAAACTCTGGGCTGTCCAGCCTGCAGTGCGGTCATATAGATCCCAGGGCCTGCACTGTGCCTGCGCAACAGCTGGGAGACGAGACATAACAATTTGCAAGTGTGCACAACCTATTTTTAACTTGCAATTTCAGAGTGTTTGCATTTGTTAAAACATTTTTTAAAAATCTGATCTGCTTTTAGGTGTTTTGTTTTTAGTTGTAGAGGATGTCAGTTGTAGTTGTATGATTACAGAAAATGTTTTGTCTGCCAAGTCTGGAAGTGTCTATTAAGGTGAAAGTGAAGTGTGAAACGAAAAGTCTCTTCTGCCATAAAAGCTTCTAGCTTCCTGTCAGCAATACTTTGTATCTGTAAACTGAGCTGCACATGCTTAGGTCAGTGCATAGGCCGAGATTAAGTCACTCCTGTGTGCATGCGCAGGAGTTACGTCATCAGGGCCCAGCCAATCAAGTGGTCAAAGAATCAGAACCTGGAAGAAGACTGGAATGAAGATGGAAGTACTGGTAAAGGATGAGCACACTGAAATTGCAGACCT